AATAAAAATTTAGTCTTGCATTTTTCTAAATTGCATGAACGACTGTGCATGGTATATACTTAGCTAGCTTGAGTTATTGTTACGTTAGTAACCCCAGAACGCGCGAAGAAGGTAATAGGCAACGTTTTGTTAGTAGAATTCTGTAAGTTTTGACAGTCATGGGTCGAGCCACACTACACTTCTTATTACTAGTACACTTGCCAAACACATTGGTTTCTTCCAGGGGAATTCCTTTCTTTTATATTGCGCCATTATAACACTTTCACCAAAACACTCGTATTGTTGGATATTTGCCAAACCCACATTGTTTTCCACCATTGAATTCCTTTCCTTACATTGCGCCATTATAACACTCGTAGTTGTTGGTAGTATTTGCCAAACCCACATTTTTTTCCCCACCATTAAATTCCTTTCCTATATTGCGCCATTATAACACTTTTACCTGCCAAACATACCATGTCTTCAACCGGGTGAATTTTTTTCTTAAATAGCGTCATTATAGCACTTGTAAGCTCACAGACGAGTTAAAGCTGGCTTGTGTAAAATACATTAAAGGTTACTTTTGTCCTTGTACCTTTAAGTGTATTGCTTTATGTTAAAGATTACTTTAACTAAATATTCAGTTCGTAGTAGGAATGTATATAAGTAGTTTATAGAGCATTGCTTTTTTTTGTCTTATATTTTGCTTCATAAATCTTGAGGCTTTTATTGCTTGTTTTCTTGTAGTATTTGGGTGTGTAAGTGAATGTTTGTAATGTACCTATATATTCATATGAGTGTGGCAGATGCTCTGACAATCTGTCAAAAGAGTAATTTAGAAAAGCTTCGAAATGGCTGCCTATGCTTTTCAAATCATCCAGTTCGATAATGATCCCTCCCCTTTTTGCTGTCTGTTGCTGTTTGGCCCCCCTGCGACTACCTGGCCCCCGCTAACCCTGCCGGGTCGTCTTTGTTGCCTTGCAGACGTGCCAACAGCGGCTCCATGCACAACCTGACCAACCTGAGGACAGCCACCCCTCAACTCAACCTCTCCAGGCATGGGTAACCTCCTCACCCACAGCGGGGGCAACCGCCTTTAAATGCCTTACCACTTCCTTATTTAGTTTTTTGTCCTTTTGTTTTCGTGTATCACACTGCTATTTTGTTGCTAAAATACTACTTATACTATATTAATGCTAAACTACTTATTTTGCTACAAAATACTCCTACCTGTATTACTATTACCCTTCTCGCCCTTATCTTCTCCTCTCCCTTCCATCCTCCTCTTTATTTTTTTTTATTTCTTTAAAGTTAATTAATTTTCGTCTCTTATAGCTGTTTATATAATAAAAAAATTTTCCTCTTCCTTGTCCATAACTGCATTCCTCTTGATCTTCGCCACTACCGTTCCCTTCGTGATCCCTCCTCCGTGTTCAGAATGTTCTGCCCCCATTCTGCCATCCAGTTTTTACTTTCCCCATACTCTCCTCCTCTTCCCAGTCTTCCCTAAATCCCCTTTATAGTTATTTGTAATATTATCTTTCATAACCATTTATCTTTAATCTTTTCCACCTTATTAATTATTGACGTCTTGTAGGCTTTCATTATTATTTCATCCATAGATTAATTCCCTAGTCAGTATACTTCGTCCCGGTTTATATATATCCATTTTCCTTTTTAATATTCATACTTATCCTCTATTTTGCCTTATATGCAAATGTTTATTATTACTCTACACAAAACATCGTATAGTACGTTCACTCCCCTCCTATTTCTTTATCCTATCTTTCTCGTTATTTTTTAAACACTTTTTTCGTAATTTATTATCATTTCCGTATTAAGTACATACACACGGTAGAAATGCACACCTGCCCCCCCCAACCATTGAAACACCACTTTCTCCCCCCTGGGAACTTATATTTGTTCTCCCCCTGGAAACTTGCACTTGTTCTCCCCACATGAAACTTGACTTGTTCTCCCCCCACAGGGAAAACCTTTACTTGTTCCCCCACTGGAAACTTATATTTGTTCTCCCCCCTGGGAAACTTCACTTGTTCTCCTCACAGGGAAAAATTTATACTTGTTCCCCTCCCGGAAACTTCACTGTTCTCCCCCCCGGGGAAATTTTGCACTTGTTCTCCCTCACAGGGAAACTTGACTTTTTCCCCTCACATGGAATCTTATATTTTGTTCTCCCCCCTGGAAACTTGCACTTGTTCTCCCCCCTTTGGGAAATTGCACTTTTTTCCCCTCCCTCAAGGGAAACTTGTACTTGTTCCCCTCACGGGGAATTTTAACTTGTTCCCCCTCCCGGGAAACTTGCACTTGTTCTCCCTCCCGGGAAAAATTTCACTTGTTCTCCCCACATGGAAACTTGATTGTTCCCCCACATGGAATCTTATCTTTTTTCTCCCCCCCCGGGGAAACTTCACTGTTCCCCCCCCGGGGAAAATTTGCACTTGTTCTCCCCCAGGGGAAACTTGTACTTGTTCTCCCTCACAGGAATCTATACTTGTTTCCCCCCTGGGAAACTTCACTTGTTCTCCCTCACTTTAAACTTGATTTTGTTTCGCCCACGGGAAACTTGTACTTGTTCTCCCTCACGGAAACTTATACTTGTTCTCCCCCCGGGGAAACTTACACTTTTTTCTCCCCCCGGGAAACTTAAAAACTTGTTCTCCCCCCGGGAAACTTATATTTGTTTTTTCCCCCCCTTGGAACTTATTTTTCCCCCCTGGGAAACTTATCTTTTTCCCCACATGAAACTTGCACTTGTTCCCCCCCCGGGGAAACTTATATTTGTTCTCCCTCACATGGAAACTTATCTTGTTCCCCCACAGGGAAATTTAACTTGTTCTCCCTCCCTGGGAAATTAATTTTTCTCCCCCCCCTGGGAAACTTTATTACTTTTCTCCCCCCCGGGGAAACTTATACTTGTTCCCCTCACAGGAAACTTAACTTGTTCCCCCCTCCCGGGGAAACTTTACTTGTTCCCCCCCGGAAACTTATATTTGTTCTCCCTCACGGGAAACTTATACTTGTTTCCCTCCCGGGAAAAACTTATACTTGTTCTCCCTCCCTGGGAAACTTATACTTTCTTCCCCCTGGAAACTTATACTTTTCCCTCCCGGGGAAACTTATACTTGTTCCCCTAAATGAAACTTAACTTTTTTCCCCCTCCCTGGAAAACTTATACTTGTTCTCCCTCCCTGGGAAACTTATACTTTTTCTCCTCCCTGGAAACTTTACTTTTTCTCCCCCCCCGGGAAACTTAATTTGTTCCCCCTCCCGGGGAAATTTTTCTTTTCTCCCTCCCGGGGAAACTTATACTTTTCTCCCTCACAGGGAAATTTATACTTGTTCTCCCTCCCTGGGAAACTATACTTGTTCTCCCTCCCGGGGAAACTATACTTTTCTCCCTCCCGGGGAAACTTATACTTTTTCTCCCCCCGGGAAAAATTTTACTTGTTCCCCTCACAGGAAACTTCACTGTTCTCCCCCCCTGGGAAACTTGCATTGTTCTCCCTCACAAAAAAATTTATACTTTTTTCCCTCACTAGAAACAGTTTTTGGAACCCCTCAAAAGGGGGGAAACCCTTCATCTGGTAAAAGGTTCTTTATCCAAGGAAGAGGGCCCATCCCCCCTTCCTTGGATCAAATATCACTGCTCCCCTATTCCCCAGGGGCTTTAGACTCCTCGGATTTACACTCCCCTCTGATTTAAAAAAAAGAAATCACTCCTTGGGAACACTTGTTTTTTTTTCCCATTGAAACACACGTGTTTCCCCTTTAAACACACGTGTTTCCCTTTTAAACACAGAGTTTCCCTTTGGGAAACACACGTGTTTCCCTTTGAAACACACCCGGGTTTACTTTGAAACAACGTGTTTCCCTTGAAACAACGTGTTTCCCCCCTTTTAAACACACGTGTTTCCCCCCTTTTAAACACCGTGTTTCCCTTTGAAAAAACACTGTTTCCCTTTGAAACACACGGGTTTTTGAAACCACTGTTTTTCCCTTTTAAACACATGCTTCCCTTTCCCCCCCTTTTAAACACATCTTCGTCTTTCCCCCTTTTAAACACATCTTCCTCTTTACCCTTTGAAACACAGCTTGCTCTTTTCCCTTTTAAACACATGCTCCCCCTTTCCCCTTTTAAACCAGCTTCCTCTTTCCCCCTTTGAAACACAGCTTCCTCTTTCCCCCTTTTAAACACTTTCTTCGTTTTCCCCCTTTAAAAAACATGCTTCCTCTTTACCCTTTGAAACAAATGCTGCTCTTTACCCTTTGAAACACATCTTCCCTTTCCCCTTTGAAACACATGCTTCCTCTTTCCCCCCCCTTTAAACACATGCTTCCCCTTTCCCCTTTGAAAACATCCCCCTTTCCCCCTTTTAAACACGTGCTTCCCCTTTCCCCTTTGAAAAACGTGCTTCCCCCCCTTCCCCCTTTTAAACCTGCTTTCCCCTTTCCCCCCTTTTAAACACGTGCTTCCTCTTTCCCCTTTGAAACACGTGCTTCCTCTTTCCCCCTTTTAAACACATCTTCCTCTTTCCCCTTTGAAACACATGCTTTCCCCTTTTTCCCCCTTTTAAACACAGCTTCCCCTTTTCCCCCCCCGAAAAAAATGCTTCCCCTTTCCCCTTTGAAACACGGCTTCCCCTTTCCCCTTTTAAAAACTGTTCCCCCTTTTCCCCCTTTTAAACACTGCTTTCCCCTTTCCCCTTTTAAACACATGCTCCCTTTCCCCTTTGAAACACAGCTTCCCCTTTCCCCTTTGAAACAGGTTCCCCTTTCCCCCTTTGAAACCGTGCTTTCCTTTTTCCCCTTTGAAACACGTGCTTCCTCCCCCTTTGAAAAACGTGCTTCCCCTTTCCCCTTTGAAACACATACTTTTCCCCCCCCCCATGAAAATCACACTTCTTTCCCCATTTTTGGGAAAATTTACACTTTTTCTCTTTTTTTCTCTCTCTCCTCTCTCCCCCCTCTCTCTCTTCTCTGTCTCCTTTTATCCTGTCTCTCTCTCTCTCCCTCTCTCTCTTCTCGTCTCTGTCCTGCATCTCTGTCTCTCTCTCTCTCTCTCTCTGTCCCCCTTTTCTCTTCCTCTCTCTCTCTCTGTCTCTCTCCCTCCCCTGTCTGTCCTCTCTCTCTCCTCTCTCTCTCTCTCTCTCTCTTTCTTCTTCTCTTCTCTCTCCTCTCCTTCTTCTTCCTCTCTTTTCCCTTCTGTCCTCCTCTCTTTCCCCTTTTCTCTCTCTATCCTGCTCTCCTCTCTCTTCTCTTCCTCTCCTCTCTTTTCTCTCTCCCTCTCTTCTCTCTCTCTCTGTGCTCTCTCCTTCCTCTTCTCTCTCTCTCCTCTGTCTCTCTCTCTCTCTCTTTCTCTTCTCCTTTTCCTCTTCTCTCTTCTCTCCTCTCTTCTCTCTCTCCTCTCTCCTCTCTCTCTTCTCTCTCTCCTCCTTTTTCCCCCCTCTCCTGTCTTCTTCTCTGTCTCTCTCTTTTTCTCTCTTCTCCCCTCTCTCTCTGTTTTCCCCCTCTTCTGTCTCTCTTTCTTCCCCTCTCTTCTCTCTCTTCTTCTTCTCTGTCCCCCTTTTGTCTCCTCTCTTCTCTCTCCTCTCTTCTCCTCTCTCTTCTCTCTCTCTTCCCCCCTCTCTTTTCCCCTCTCTTCTCTCCTCTCTTCTCTCTCTTCCCCCTCTCTCTTCTTCCTTCTCTCTCTCTCTCTCTTTCTGTTCCCCTTCTCTGTCTCTTTTCCCCTCTCTTCTTCCCCCTCTCCCTCTTCTCTTTTCTCTCTCCCTCTTCCTCTCTCTCTCTCTCTTCTCTTCTCTTCTCTGTCTCCCCTCTCTCTCTTCCTCTCTCTCTCTTCTCTCTCTTTTGCTCTCTTCCTCTCTCTCTCTCTCTCTCCCTCTCTCCTTCTCTTTTCGTTTCTCTTCCCCCTTCTCTCCTCTCTCTCTCTCTCCCTCCCCCCTCTCTCTTCTCTCTCTCTCCTCTCTCTCTCTCTTTCTTTCTCTCTCTCTCTCTCTCTCTTTCTTTCTCGTTAGATCACCCACTTCCTCTCTAGCTCATAAAGGGAAGCACCCATGCTTAAATATGTATCTTTATTTACTTTTGTAGTATGTCATTTTCATGTTCTATGGCTAATTTTTTTTTTCATTTACACGAGTTGTCAATACAGTAGATCAGTCATGTGGCCTATATCAAACAACAACCACAACCAACAACAACAACAGTAGTAGTAGTAGATATGAATAAGTCGGTACTAAATATATTTATTCTCATTTAATTGTGTCTGTGATTTTTTAATTTCATTCATAATAAATATTTGTAGAAGATAGTAAGCAGTTAATGGCCATTGGTGTTTAATTGTTGCCAAAGATCCTTCACTGTTTTGTTTAGCCTAGTAAAATATACAGTTGCATTAGTGTTAGATTATCTGAACAACCCACAATAAGTCATTCTTACTTAACCTTTGCACAAATTTCTCCCTGGCCCCTTTTCTCTACACTTTTATTCTTATGAAAGCTACATAATTTCTACTCAAGTACACTTTCTAAAACAAATTATTTTTATGCTGTATAAAGTAGTAATAGATGGTTATTTAGGATATGTAGCTATATACTGTATTGTTCATGTATTGTAATAACCGCAATGTAGTTTTTGGATTCTATGACATTAGAAGTAGATTTTTGTCTTATTTTTTTCAGATATTTTTTCCAGTTACAGTACTGTGTTAGAAATGTGGGTTAGCCTCTGTACATTAATTGCTAACTACTGTGCTTATGTTTGATGAACTATTTCTTGAAGTAGTTAATTTTTGCATCTGTAAACAGCTCTAATAGTGGTAGAAATACTTTATATTACTATTATACTTGTATATAGCTACTGTAGTTTTTCTTTTGTATGCACATAGTATTCCAATTCTTAAAATTTTTTATGCACTAACTAATGGGATTGTCTTCCTCAGAGCCCGTGAAGCACAATATAACCCAGATGAAGGTGTAGTAAAGCTGTATCTGCGGGGACGACCCCTTAATCTCTACGTTCCTACATCTATTCAAGAAACTTACTCTCCCACCAGCCCTTCATCCTCACCTCCTGCCAAACTCAAGTTGGAATGGGTTTATGGCTATAGGCAAGTCTAACAATGCGTGTTGTACTTTGTTTTTTCTAAGTTATAAATCACTATTGTATTGAAAATGATTATGGTTGGGGGCTCTAGGCCAATAAAACTTGATTTGGGTCAATTGTAAATTTCATTCAAGCCAGCAGCATATCATTTATAAATTCTATATGTTAGTGTAGAGAAGTTTTTGGCTACTGGAAAACTAAATCTGTAAATGTTATGTGGCAGAGCTGCACAATTTTGAAATGTTTAACTGAAGGGTGTAATAATAATTACACCCAAAGTGGTAAATTTTAGAATTTTATTGAAACTGTAGAGGTAATTACAAAGGTCTGGGAGTTGAGGGCTGTCAGGATTACTGTGTGTTTCATCGTTGATTGTTTCATCATGGATAGGTGATGTTTCAGGGAGGACATCTTGGGTGCTTGAAGTTGAAACCACAGGATTTTCAGATGTAGGCCTACTTCTATGAAACATTTTTCTTGGCTATCTTTTATTTCATCCAAGCAAACTTTCATATGCTTTGATCTTTCCCTGTGTAATTTTTCATCCGTAAGATTAAAATTCATTAGCTCATGTTCCATTATGAAGGAACATTGTTCTAGCCCTTTGATTAATTTTCCTGACAGCTCAGTTAACTTGTCAGTAGCCAAAGCTGTTGACGAGTTAATATGGCTATTACCGTATTTCGTGGCTTATTAGACGCATGTTTTTTCCATAAAATGTCTCCAAAACCACCGGGAGCAATAAGTTTGGGGTGTGGGATGGGCTGTAGCTCTCCCAGTTGCGTCCGATACCGAGCCATTGAAACTAAAACAAGTCTTATAAGCCGCGCCTTATAAGCCACGAAATACAGTAACCTTATCTATGGCTAAGATTAAGTGTGCTCAAGGTACATTACTCTAAGAAAAAAGATGAGATGTAAAATAGAAGAGAGAAATGCTTTCTCTCTCTACATGTGAAGGCAAAGAATCAATGAGTTACTGAAAGGGGCCAGTATATCTGAAATATGGAAGGAGGCACAGGCCAGAGAAATAGAAAATATCAAATTTAAGCTTAAGGAATCATACAGGAACCAAGAAACATGGAAAGAACTTTAAACCATAAGTGAAATTGAAAAAAGAAAATATTTCTTTTCCTATGCAAAAACCACATCCAGTACTGGGTCCCTGCTTAAATGAGATGGGGTTTGCACAGATGACAGCAAAGAAATGAGAGATGCTGAAGTCCCAGTATGATTCAGTATTTAGTGAGCTATTAATCAGACTAAGGGTTGACAATCTAAATGAATTTTTTATGACTGAGATTCAAAGTCTGGTTAATTAAAAATTTCTGATATAATCCTAACACCCCAGGACTTTAAATAAAACAGTAAATGACATGCCCACACATGCTGCCCTAGTCCCAGTCTTGTGAAACTCTGTGTTCATCAAGAACTGCAAGAAACCCCTTTCACATGTCTTAAATATTCTATTGAGAAGGAGCATAGACACGAGTCATCCCGCAGTCAGTAAAAACAACAGATATAGCCCCACTCCAAAATGGTGGCAGTAAAGCACATGCAAAGAATTACAGACTAATAGCACTAGCATTCCACATTATAAAAATCTTTGAAAGCATTCTAAGAAGCAAGATTGCCACTCACTTATGTACCCCATCAGTTGCACAGCCCAGGACAGCATGGGTTTAGAGCAGGTTACTCCTGTCTCTCACAGCTACTGGATCACTATGACATGGTCTTGGATGTGTTGGAGGACAAACAAAATGCAGATGTATTATACACAGACTTTGAGAAAGCCTTCGTTCGGTAAGTGCGATCATGGTGTAAAAAATGCATGATAAAATAATAACAGGAAAAGTTGGTAGATGGATCTATAACTTTCTAACAAATAGAACACAAAGAGTAATAGTAGTAAATAGAGTAAAGTCTGAGGTGGCTACAGTGAAAAGTTCTGTTCCACTGGTACAGTACTCACTCCCATCCTGTTCTTCATCCTCATATCTAACATAGACAGAGATGTAAGCCACAGCACTGTGTCCTCCTTTGCTGATGATACCAGAATGCATGACAGTGTCATCCATTGAGGACACTGCATATCCCCAAGTGGACGTTAACCAAGTCCCTTTAAATGGGTATCAGAAAACAACGTGAAGTTAAATGAAGACAAATTTCAATTACTCCACTATGGAAAACTCAGGGAAATAAAAACTGGATCAGAGCATAAAACCAAATTCCAACTGCCCAATAGAGCAAAAAACTAATGTAAAGGATCTGGGAGTGATAATGTCAGAGAATCCCAATTTCAAAGACCACCGGTGGCCTGGTGGCTACAGCTCTCATTTCACACACGGAGGGCCTGGGTTCGATTCCCGCGGGGTGAAAACATTTTAAACGTGTTTCCTTACTCCTATTGTCATGTTCACCTAGCAGAAAATAGGTACCTGGGTGTTAGTCGACTTGTGTGGGTCACATCCTGGGGACAAGATTAGGACCCCAATGGAAACAAGGACAGATAGTCCTCAATGATGCACTGACTTTCTTGGGTTATCCTGGGTGGTTAACCCTCCAGGGTTAAAAATCTGTAGAAAATATTATCTTGTCTACCACATATGCTACGGAAACAATAGGATGGATAATGAGAACCTTCAAAACTAGAGATGAATATCAAATGTATACAATACCAACAGGTTGGTAAGTAAGACGCATGCAACAGTTGGGCATATTTATTACAAAACATTTCGCCTACACAGTATGCTTCTTCACTCGAGTACAGAAAGTTAGCAGAAGCAGTAGAGATGTGAAGACAATGTAATTAGTCCATCACCCTTGAAGATGAAGATTTGAGGTGGTCAGTTCCTCAGTCTGGAGAAGAGTTTGGTCTATAGTCTGCAACAATGTGAAGTTTAAGCTGCTGTATGGAGACTTATATACTGTCAGAAGGAGAGGTGTAGTCCAAGAGTAGAAGAAAAAATATATTCATTGACAGGTCACGTCCCTCACAAATCTAACTAGTATTCTCACTTGGGTAATAATAAGCGTTTATGCACCTGGAGAAGAGAGGAATGCAGAGGAGAAGAGAGAGATTTGGGAGATGTTTAGTGAATGTATAGGAGCCTTTGAACCAAGTGAGAGAGTAATTGTGGTAGGGGACCTGAATGCTAAAGTAGGAGAAACTTTTAGAGAGGGTGTGGTAGGTAAGTTTGGGGTGCCAGGTGTAAATGATAATGGGAGCCCTTTGATTGAACTTTGTATAGAAAGGGGTTTAGTTATAGGTAATACATATTTTAAGAAAAAGAGGATAAATAAGTATACAAGATATGATGTAGGCGAAATGACAGTAGTTTGTTGATTATGTATTGGTAGATAAAAGACTGTTGAGTAGACTTCAGGATGTACATGTTTATAGAGGGCCACAGATATATCAGATCACTTTCTAGTTGTAGCTACACTGAGAAATAAAAGGTAGATGGGATACAAGGAGAATAGAAGTATCAGGGAAGAGAGAGGTGAAAGGTTTATAAACTAAAAGAGAGCAGTTAGGGTAAGATATAAACAGCTATTGGAGGATAGATGGGCTAATGAGAGCATACGCAATGGGGTCGAAGAGGTATGGGGTAGGTTTAAAAATGTAGTGTTAGTGTTCAGCAGAAGTTTGTGGTTACAGGAAAGTGGGTGCGGGAGGGAAGAGGAGCGATTGGTGAATGATGATGTAAGGAGAGTAGTAAGGGAGAAAAAGTTAGCATTATGAGAAGTTTTTACAAAATAGAAGTGATGCAAGGAGGGAAGAGTATATGGAGAAAAAGAGAGAGGTTAAGAGTGGTGAAGCAATGTAAAAAGAGAGCAAATGAGAGAGTGGGTGAGATGTATCAACAAATTTTGTTGAAAATAAGAAAAAGTTTGGAGTGAGATTACAAGTTAAGAAAGCCTAGAGAACAAATGGATTTGTCAGTTAAAAATAGGAGAGGAGAGTTATTAAATGGAGAGTTAGAGGTATTGGGAAGATGGAGGAATATTTTGAGGAATTGTTAAATGTTGATAGAAATAGGAAGCTGTGATTTCGTGTAAAGGAAAAGGAGGAATAACATCTTGTAGGAGTGTGGAAGAGCCAGTTGTGAGTGTGGGGAAAGTTCGTGAGGCAGTAGGTAAAATGAAAGGGGGTAAGGTAGCCGGGATTGATGGGATAAAGATAGAAATGTTAAAAGCAGGAGGGGATAATAGTTTTGGAGTGGTTGGTGCAATTATTTAATAAATGTATGGAAGAGGGTAAGGTACCTAGGGATTGGCAGAGAGCATCATATTCCTTTGTATAAAGGCAAAGGGGATAAAAGAGTGCAAAATTATAGGGGATAAGTCTGCTGAGTATACCTGGTAAAGTGTATGGTAGTTATTATTGAAAGAATTAAGAGTAAGACGGAGAATAGGATAGCAGATGAACAAGGAGACTTTAGGAAAGGTGGGGGGTGTGTGGACCAGGTTTTTAAACAGTGAAACATATAAGGGGAACAGTATTTAATAAGGCTAAAGAGGTCTTTGTGGCATTTATGGATTTGGAAAAGGCATATGACAGGGTGGATAGGGGGGCAATGTGGCAGATTTTTGCAAGTGTATGGTGTAGGAAAGGGAGGTTACTGAAAACAGTGAAGAGTTTTTACGAGGATAGGAGGCTCAAGTTAGAGTATGTAGAAAGAGGAAATTTTTTCCCAGTAAAAATAGGCCTTAGACAAGGATGTGTGATGTCACCGTGGTTGTTTAATGTATTTATAGATGGGTTTTGTAAGAGAAGTAAAATGCGAGGGTCTGGCAAGAGGCGTGGAGTTAAAAGATAAAGAATCACACACAAAGTGGGGGTTGTCCCCAGCTGCTCTTTGCTGATGACACTTGCTCTTGGGAGATTTCTGAAAGAAGTTGTAGAGATTGGTGGATGAATTTGGTAGTGGGTGCAAAAGAAGAAATTAAAGGTGAATACGGAAAGTGTAAGGTTATGAGGATAACAAAAAGATTAGGGGATAAAGATTGAATATCAGATTGGAGGGAGAGGTATGGAGGAGGTGAATGTATTCAGATATTTGGGAGTGGACGTGTCTGCGGATGGGTCTATGAAAGAGAGGTGAATCATAGAATTGATGAGGGGAAAAGAGTGAGTGGTGCACTTTTGGAGTCTGTGGA